GACACCCGCCTCAATGAACACAATACGCAGTAGGAACGAAAACTTAAAAAACCCTTTACAACACCGAAATTCCCACCAACTCTTATGAAATTCAGAGACGCCCAATTAGTGAAAAAAAACTATTTCCGCACACGCAAGTGCCTTGAATCAGCACTGATGCTTTTTCGAACAATTAAACAAAACAACGGCAGCTTCACCATCTCCGAAGTCTTAGCAAGAATCCTCCTGAAAACAGTAAACCCTGCCATCACATAGTCCTCCTGTTTATACTACACAAAGCACAGAGAGTGAACACTGAAACAACCTGCCTCATTCCAGTTTTATATTTGTCCAACCTATTTTTATGTTACCCAAGTAATAGCTTTTATATCCTTTTACTCATGTACGAATTAATTGCTTTTGTCACTACCACTACTACTACTACTAACTACTACCACTAGTGAACATCGAAATGGTACCTCACTAGTATTCACCTCACTCTGAGCCTTTATATACCCTCTGTGTCCATGTATTGTTTGTAATGGCTTGATAAAGCTCCTGGAGAGCGAAACGTTGCTACAATAAATGTCACATTAGTTGCACTTGTGTCCTTTTACTTTACATATTGTCGGTAATTCTACCAACTTTATTACAACTATTACTACTACTACTATTACTACTACTACTACTATTACTACTACTACTGCTACTACTGCTATTACTACTGCTATAACTACTACTACTACTACTACTATTACTACTGCTATAACTACTGCTATTACTACTGCTATAACTACTACTACTACTATTACTACTGCTATAACTAGTACTATTACTACTACTATTACTACTGCTATAACTACTACTACTACTACTATTACTACTGTTATAATTACTACTACTATTACTATTGTTATAACTACTACTACTATTACTACTGCTATAACTACTACTACTATTACTACTGCTATAACTACTACTACTACTACTATTACTACTGCTATAACTACTACTACTATTACTACTGCTATAACTACTACTACTATTACTACTGCTATAACTACTACTACTATTACTACTGCTATAACTACTACTACTACTATTACTACTGCTATAACTACTACTATTACTACTGCTATAACTACTACTACTACTACTATTACTACTGCTATAACTACTACTACTACTATTACTACTGCTATAACTACTACTACTACTACTATTACTACTGCTATAACTACTACTACTACTACTATTACTACTGCTATAACTACTACTACTACTACTATTACTACTGCTATAACTACTAACTACTACTACTATACTACTGCTATAACTACTACTACTACTACTATTACTACTGCTATAACTACTACTACTACTAGTACTATTACTACTGTTATAACTAGTACTATTACTACTACTACTATTACTACTACTGCTACTACTACCAGTCATCCACCACCACAACCACCACTTGAGATAATGGCCCCCAGACATAATAACTCACAATGACGATCAATTTAATGATAATATGTAAAAGTGTGGAAAATTATCAGTAAATTTTGTTCAGCAAATGTATTTTGCATTGTAATTATGTCAGAAAAATCTTAAAAGAACGCTATTGTGAAAAACTTTAAAGAGCTCTATTGTGAAAAAAAAAAAATTAAAAGAGCTCTGTTGTGAAAAACTTAAAAGAGCTCCTCTACTGTGAACAAGTTTAAAAGAGCTCCGTTGTTATGAAAAGAACTTAAAAGAGATCCTCTATTTTGAAAAAAAAATTGAAGAACACACTTTTATACATGACAATATATACACTATATTGACACAGTGTCACACCTGACACACTGTGTCACACTTGACACACTGTGTCACACTTGACACAGTGTCACACTTGACACAGTGTCACACTTAACACAGTGTCACACCTGACACACTGTGTCACACATGACACAGCGTCACACTTGACACAGCTGAGGGTGATATTCACCTTACAGTGTGTCACACCTCACACTTACCCGAAATTATAAAAAAATATTGTAATAATAATGTTGGCGGCGGTGGTATTATTATTATTATTATTATTATTATTATTATTATTATTATTATTACTGAAATAACACCACCACCACCAAATTATTTATTATTATTGTATTATTATGGTACAATAACAGAGCAGTGTGGTATGTTAAGAGTAGGTTGTTTTATATAGTGTATGCCACATACCCATATAGGCATGCCCTCCTGACCAGTGACTCAAGTGCTAAGAGTATAACGAGTGGGGGCCCTCCCTCGTAATGCACTTCGAGTCAACCAGCCAATCAAGAGGAAGCTCACCGAAGTTGTGAAGCAATTTTTGACACTTGTGAATCACCCTCGTTAGACTTACCTCCAAGTCTGGTTGAAGACGGTTCTTACTGTGTCTCTTGCTTGCAAAATTGCCTTGATGTACATATCTGTAAATATTGTAAATAGTATTGCTTGCTGTTTGGTGTGCAAGAAATATATATTTACTCTCTGCTGCCTTTTGTTCGTTCCAGATTTTTACCCTGATTATCGTGCTACAACCAGGTGTGCAGGCCACTAGACTACATCTGTGTTCGTAATAAGCAGTGACTAATTGCTTTCCACTTCCCCCCAGGCGCTGCCTGACCCCTTTCGCTGGAATATTTTACCAAAACCCAGCATTCAGGACAGGTCCAGTACGGACCGAAACGTCGCGGTACGGTTCCAGTCTTACAGCGACAAGGCGGGGGTGAGGTGTTTCAATTACGCCTTCCATATCAAAATAGAGAGTTGTTGCTGTGTGCACACCAAGAGTGTGGAGTTCTTGCTGTGGTCACACCAAGAGTGTGGAGATGTTGCTGTGGTCACACCAAGAGTGTGGAGATGTTGCTGTGGTCACACCAAGAGTGTGGAGATGTTGCTGTGGTCACACCAAGAGTGTGGAGGTGTTGCTGTGGTCACACCAAGAGTGTGGAGGTGTTGCTGTGGTCACACCAAGAGTGTGGAGGTGTTGCTGTGGTCACACCAATAGTGTGGAGGTGTTGCTGTGGTCACACCAAGAGTGTGGAGATGTTGCTGTGGTCACACCAAGAGTGTGGAGATGTTGCTGTGGTCACACCAAGAGTGTGGAGATGTTGCTGTGGTCACACCAAGAGTGTGGAGGTGTTGCTGTGGTCACACCAAGAGTGTGGAGATGTTGCTGTGGTCACACCAAGAGTGTGGAGGTGTTGCTGTGGTCACACCAAGAGTGTGGAGATGTTGCTGTGGTCACACCAAGAGTGTGGAGGTGTTGCTGTGGTCACACCAAGAGTGTGGAGGTGTTGCTGTGGTCACACCAAGAGTGTGGAGGTGTTGCTGTGGTCACCACCAATAGTGTGAGGTGTTGCTGTGGTCACACCAAGAGTGTGGAGGTGTTGCTGTGGTCACACCAAGAGTGGGAGGTGTTGCTGTGGTCACACCAAGAGTGTGGAGGTGTTGCTGTGGTCACACCAAGAGTGTGGGAGTGTTGCTGTGGTCACACCAAGAGTGTGGAGGTGTTGCTGTGTCACACCAAGAGTGTGGAGGGTTGCTGTGGTCACACCAAGAGTGTGGAGGTGTTGCTGTGGTCACACCAAGTAGTGTGGAATGTTGCTGTGGTCACACCAAGAGTGGAGATATTGCTGTGGTCACACCAAGAGTGTGGAGATGTTGCTGTGGTCACACCAAGAGTGTGGAGATGTTGCTGTGGTCACACCAAGAGTGTGGAGATGTTGCTGTGGTCACACCAAGTGTGGAGATATTGCTGTGGTCACACCAAGAGTGTGGAGGTGTTGCTGTGGTCACACCAAGAGTGTGGAGATGTTGCTGTGGTCACACACCAGAGTGGAGGAGGTGTTGCTGTGGTCACACCAAGAGTGTGGTGGTGTTGCTGTGGTCACACCAAGAGTGTGGAGGTGTTGCTGTGGTCACACCAAGAGTGTGGAGATGTTGCTGTGGTCATACCAAGAGTGTGGAGGTGTTGCTGTGGTCACACCAAGAGTGCGGAGGTGTTGCTGTGGTCACACCAAGAGTGTGGAGATGTTGCTGTGGTCACACCAAGAGTGTGGAGGTGTTGCTGTGGTCACACCAAGAGTGTGGTGTTGCTGTGGTCACACCAAGAGTGTGGAGGTGTTGCTGTGGTCACACCAAGAGTGTGGTGTTGCTGTGGTCACACCAAGAGTGTGGAGGTGCTGCTGTGGTCACACCAAGAGTGTGGTGTTGCTGTGGTCACACCAAGAGTGTGGAGGTGTTGCTGTGGTCACACCAAGAGTGTGGAGGTGTTGCTGTAGTCACACCAAGAGTGTGGAGGTGTTGCTGTAGTCACACCAATAGTGTTTAGGTGCTGCTGTGGTCACACCAAGAGTGTGCAGGTGTTGCTGTGGTCACACCAAGAGTGTGGAGGTGTTGCTGTGGTCACACCAAGAGTGTGGAGGTACTGCTGTGGTCACAGCAAGAGTGTGGTGTTGCTGTGGTCACACCAAGAGTGTGGAGGTGTTGCTGTGGTCACACCAAGAGTGTGGAGTGTTGCTGTGGTCACACCAAGAGTGTGGTGTTGCTGTGGTCACACCAAGAGTGTGGAGATGTTGCTGTGGTCACACCAAGAGTGTGGTGTTGCTGTGGTCACACCAAGAGTGTGGTGTTGCTGTGGTCACACCAAGAGTGTGGTGTTGCTGTGGTCACACCAAGAGTGTGGTGTTGCTGTGGTCACACCAGAGTACAAACCCTGCGAGACCAGACCTCTACTCTCTTCTCACCTCCACTAAATTAATACTTATCAACAGTATTCTCAGCTGGTAACTTGATCCACCAAGAGAGAGAGAAAAAAGAGCTCTAACACTTTCAGGTGGTACAATAATGCAAGGTATAACTAGCCAGATATTGTCACCCAGGAGCATTATTTCTGCTTTACAATGGTACCCAGGTACCCGACACCAGCGATATTTCTCCGGTAAATTAGTCTGCATAATAGCAGAGAGTCTAGACTCGTTTCCTGTGTCCATCACTCCTGATATGATCAACCAAGAAGCTCTTTACTACACGCAATTTATATTGCGTGCAATATATATATATATATATATATATATATATATATATATATATATATATATATAATATATATATATATATATATATATATATATATATATATATGAGTTTCGCATAATAAACGTAGTTCAACGTATTTATGTGTGTAAAATAGGTAAGAAGAAATCTGGTACATAGTAAAGTGAGAAAGTGTATGTAGGAAGGGAGAGACAATAGGTGACCAGGGCAGCAGGTGCGGCCCGTCAGTAGGGTTTACGGTGGCAAGGTAGGCACGGTGCGGTGCTAGTGACCACCACCGTACCATAAACACTACACCAGTACCACAAGTGTACAGTTACAATCACACCTTTAGTTGAGTGAGGGAGGGCAGGAGGATAAAGTGACGCAGGAGGACGCAGGAAGGCAGCACGAGGACTTAGGAAAGCAGGATCCTGGAGGCGGAGGAGGAGGAGGAGGAGGAGCCTATAGTTATATCACTAGGATGAAATTCGCCACATATACGATCTACGAGCCTGGCCGATGACCGGGCTCCGGGAGTAGAGAAACTCTCGAAACTCATCAAAGATAAAGATATACCTCAAAGGTACAACAATTCACCACCTCTCATCTTCCGTTTCCCTTAAACTGGGAAGGGCCTCAGTCTGTGGCGCTACGCAAACACAGGATTTTTTCCCATCTGTTCAGCCTTGTCTGTACACTAAATTGCATAACAGAAGTTACTGAAAAGAAAAAAAAATTATTTATTCTATACGATAGTTCTTACAGCTGATAACAGCAGGGACGGAGGGGAGGCTGTAGGAGTGATTATTGGGTGTTTATTCCCTGCGGGTTTTATTTTAAGCCTGCAATCTGGTCGATAGTGCAGTCCTGAAGACCACATGTGGGTCAGCGGGTCACCAACAGCCTGGCTGACCCATTCCCTGCCACCTTTTTCCATCTACCTGTGAAGGAGGTAATGAGGAAGGAGGGCGTGATAGGAGGCTGTTGAGAGAGATAACGAACATGGGTTACAGACTGGTGGTGCTTGATGGTAGCAGAGGAGAGAGGTCGTTAAGGGGTCGTCGACCTAACGTAATTAAGGTTGATGATGGAGGCTGGATACAGTCGCCACTACGACCCTCCTCGCGTGCTTCCTGACGGAGCTGAACTCCACATTCGCCTAAGTCTCTCACGCACCTGTTAGCTGTGAGGACGAGGATCATTAATACTCTGTGTTCATGTGGGAGACGGCACGCCTTCGTCAGGGTGCTATAGTTCACGAAATCGTAATAACATTATTGCAAACGGAGGTGCTAAAATTAACAACCCAGTGCGTTAACCACTGGGCCAGCTGGCTCTAACAAGAGTGCGTTAACCACTGGGCCAGCTGGCTCTAACAAGAGTGCGTTAACCACTGGGCCAGCTGGCTCTAACAAGAGTGCGTTAACCACTGGGCCAGCTGGCTCTAACAAGAGTGCGTTAACCACTGGGCCAGCTGGCTCTAATAAGAGTGCGTTAACCACTGGGTCAGCTGCTCTAATAAGAGTGCGTTTAACCACTGGGCCAGCTGGCTCTAACAAGAGTGCGTTAACCACTGGGTCAGCTGGCTCTAATAAGAGTGCGTTATACCACTGGGCCAGCTGCTCTAATAAGAGTGCGTTAACTACTGGGCCAGCTGGCTCTAACAAGAGTGCGTTAACCACTGGGTCAGCTGGCTCTAATAAGAGTGCGTTAACCACTGGGCCAGCTGGCTCTAATAAGAGTGCGTTAACTACTGGGCCAGCTGGCTCTAACAAGAGTGCGTTAACCACTGGGTCAGCTGGCTCTAATAAGAGTGCGTTAACCACTGGCCAGCTGGCTCTAACAAGAGTGCGTTAACCACTGGGTCAGCTGGCTCTAATAAGAGTGCGTAACCACTGGGCCAGCTGGCTCTAATAAGAGTGCGTTAACTACTGGGCCAGCTGGCTCTAACAAGAGTGCGTTAACCACTGGGCCAGCTGGCTCTAACAAGAGTGCGTTAACCACTGGGCCAGCTGGCTCTAATAAGATGCGTTAACCACTGGGCCAGCTGGCTCAAATAAGAGTGCATTAACCACTGGGGTCAGCTGGCTCTAATAAGGAGTGCGTTAACTACTGGGCCAGCTGGCTCTAACAAGAGTGCGTAAACCACTGGCCAGCCTGGCTCTAACAAGAGTGCGTTAACCACTGGGCCAGCTGGCTCTAACAAGAGTGCGTTAACCACTGGGCCAGCTGGCTCTAATAAGAGTGCGTTAACCACTGGGCCAGCTGGCTCTAACAAGAGTGCGTTAACCACTGGGCCAGCTGGCTCTAATAAGAGTGCGTTAACCACTGGGCCAGCTGGCTCTAACAAGAGTGCGTTAACCACTGGGCCAGCTGGCTCTAATAA